ACTCTTTGTCCTACACCTTCATCTTCATCTCCTGTCACTGAAGATGTTGATGTCACTGAAGATGATGATGTTAGTCTAGAGTTTGAATTACACAATGTTTCTGATTTCCAAGATTTTGAAGTACTCTCTCGTTTTAATCCTACACATATAGCTATAGACTGTATTTACAAGGACAAAAAAGGCATTGGATTTCCATTTGAAAATGTATGCTATTTCAAATCTTTTCCAATATAAGACGAGGACATCAAGTAGAAAAGTATTGCATGTTGTTTGCTTGGATGATCATTGTATTTGGTCTTTTCGTGCAGTGAGGTTGAGTGGTTGTCAAACGTTTCAAATTAGAAGGTAATTTGATCATTTAATTCATTATCCTTTCGTGAATTTGTTTTGGTATTATTATTACTATTTACTGTCTATTTATTGTGTTATTATTGTCTGATTCCTTTTCAGGTTTGACCCTGTTCATATCTGCGCTCTTGATTTTAGACAAGGTCCCCATCGTCAAACGACATATGATATAATTGCAGAATTGATAAAAGTGTCAATATGCTGAAGCTTCAAGAAAACTGTATGCTCCAAAAGATATCATTGTTGACATGATTCATACTTATGGTATTGCTTTGCCATACAAAAAGCATGGAATGCAAATAGAAAAGCTCAACAAAAGTTGATGGGTTCAGATGAGGAATCATATTAGTTATTACTAGACCTGCACAATACCGGACCGGCCCGCCCGGCCCGCCCATATAAATGGGCGGGTTTGGACACATGCTTTAGCCCACCGGGCTGGGGCCGGCCCGACCCGTTTAAAATATGGGCGGGCTTGGGTTGTAATATAGGACCGGTCGGGCCTAAAAGCCTGACCCGTAAACATATTATATATATTATATTATATATATTATTCTATATATAATTATACAGTATATGACTATACGTATAAAACTTAAAATACTTGAAAGTATTAAGGTTTGAACTGTAATGATATACATTTGTTAAGTCTTTTTGGAGATACTCTTGACTATTTCCGCTGCACATTGTGAATCTGTGATTGTGCTTTTAATTATGGAATATGGATGCTTATTTGGAATTTGGATGCTTTTTGTTTTCCAGAATCGTTTTGTGTATTGCATCTAAACGTATTCTTGTGTTCAAAATGTGTTGTGAGTACATTAATTATTTAATTGCATTTAAAATGTTGTGATGTTATTTTATAAATGTTTTTATTTTATTAAAAGAGTTGACAAAAGGACATTTTCCGGGCCCAAAAGTCCGGTGGGCAGCCCGACCCGCTCTCATGGGCGGGCTTGGACATATAAAGAGGCCCGTTTTACCGGGCCGGGCTGAGCCCGCCCACTACAAGTGGGCAGATTTGTTAGAATAAGCCCGGCCCGAGCCCGGCCCGAGCCCGGCCCGAGCCCGTGTTTGTGCAGGTCTAGTTATTACCATCCCTTGCTCATTTTTGAAAGAGAAGCATCCTGGTTCAATGATCAACTTAGGTATTGATGCCAATGATCGTTTTGAGTCTTTTTTCATGTCATTGGATGTGTGGATTCAAGGGTGGAATCATTGTTTTCTTGTCCTTATTATTGATGGATCCTTTATGAAAGCATATTATAAAGGGACTCTACTAACTGCTTGTGCTCAAGATGCTAACAAGCAGATATTTCCTCTAACTTTTGCCGTTTGTGACACCGAGGGAAAGAGAACATGGACTTGGTTTTTTAAGAAACTAAAGGAGTGTCTTGCATTCAGGAGTGATTTGTACATTGTTTCAGACCGTCATGAGGGTATACTTCATGCAACAAAGACAGTGTTTCCACATGCTAAACATGGGTACTGTGTGTTCCACCTTTTTGGAAATATCAGGTCAAAGTTCAAGGGTTGTACGAAAGGTCTTTCATGGAAATTTAAGCACGCTGCTAGAGCTGTCACTCCTTCTCAACTGGAAAGTTTCTTGGTGTTACTAGATGCTGAAGATCCTCGTATCCGTGACTATTGGTATGGAATATGTGTTGAAAAATGGGCACGTTGTTACTCTACTTTCCCTCGGTACTCTATAATGACATCCAATAATACAGAGTCACTTAATTCAGTGGACCGTGTTTCCCGTGAATACCCCATAGCAAAATTGATTGATTTTTTTGCATGAAAGGATGCAAAAGTGGTTCGTTGAACGCCGTGATGCATCAACATCCAATAAAACAATTCTTTCTAAGCACTTTGAGTCCCAACTTCATGCTTACCATGCTGCAGCATCACTTATGACTGTAAGTGTTTTACTTATTCCTTGTAAAATCATTTTAAAGCATTGTTTCTTCTCAGCTTGCCATATTATTTATTATACTAGTTTATTTTAATATTTTGTATCATATTCTAGGTTAAGCCAGCTACTCAGTTTGAGTTTGAGGTGGTGGACACAACTTCCAGAAGCTTTGTTGTTGATTTGAAAGCTAAGACATGCTCATGCTGTGAGTTTCAACTTGAGCAGTTCATATGTGTTCATGGTGTCGCTGTTGTGTGTCATCGTCGCGGTTTATCTTGTTATGACTATATTTCAAAGTATTACTTCACACAATCCTGGGTTGCTGCTTATAGTGGTGTGGTGCACCCTATTGGTTCTCCTGTGGATTGGGACATTCCTGCTTCTGTAAAGTCTCAAATATGCAAGCCGCCTACATGTCTCACACGCCAACCTGGTAGACCTAAGAATAAACGTATACCTTCAACAAGAGAATTTTCTTCCCACCAACGGTGTTCACGGTGTTAAAAAGGTGGACACAATAAGAAGTCATGCAGGAATCCCATTTCAGTCCGTAGTCTTTAGTTTCAAAACAGACTAGCATTTGTCTTCACTTTCGCCTTTAATAATTGTTGTAAGACATTCATGTTTCAGTTTTATTGTTCTTTACTTTCATAGTGCTTTGTTGTTATCAACTTGGTGTTTTTTGTTAGTCTTTTGACAATTATGTTGCTGTAATGTTTGTTCTTCTACTGAAGACCCCCTGGATAAAAGGATTTTTACAATGCTAATTACTGTCTCATTACTGTCTCTTTAATGTCTAATTACTGCCACTCCTATTTGTTTATATTTACTACTACTGTCTACTCCTATTATGTTGTTATCCTTACTTGTAGCTTGTGTGTGTTAGTAGTCACATTCATAAACTATTATTATGAAGTCAAAATTAATCAGTGGATTTTATTTACTTTTTTTCGAATGTTTGTTTTGAATAATTTTTTTTATAAAGGAATGATTTTTTTAGTCTCCTCCTTTAAGAACATGTATGAAATCATACATTGGTAAAATTAATTAATGCCATGGTTACAGTACATTGTTGTACTATTTTTTGTTCTAACTTTACATTCAGTCATTTAATGTGTGGTCGTGCCATTAAAGACTACATATTACCTACTTATTATCTATAGATTTGAAGCATACATTACAGATCATTTCAATAACAAACAAAAAGAACAAGCATTTTTTTCATTCAAAAGAAAAACATTCCATATAGTGAATTTTTGATACCATATGACATAAATACATGTTGTAATAAGTCTTACTAAACAAAGTAAGGAAATTATACATTCTTTTTGCTTCAAAACAAGTAGCTTCAACAGAAACTTTGAGAACATTACAGCTTATTCCAACTACTGTCTTTGTGGTAGTACTAGAAATCAGTTTGAGCTTTCAACTGTGTCATGTTATGCATACAATAGCAGCTCTGTCATAATTTTCTGTCGGTGCATTTCCATGTCTTCCTTTGAAACTTCTTCCACATCTCTATCCATCATTAGATATTCAGCAAACTTGATGACACACATGCCACAATTGCCCCTGTAGAAGTATAAAATACTCAAGTATAAAGGTGGTTGCACATGATATATAAACAAATGTGAAGAAAAAAAATTATAGACCCACATACCCATCGTCCTGCTGTGAACATTCCCTAACCATATCAATATGAAATTTTGCTTTTTTCATTTCCAAGCATGGTATGTATGGCCTTATGATTGACAACGAATCCCCTCTTCTCTTTAGGGAGTCATACACTCTAATGCGCTTACCGTTAATGTCTAGGACCAATAATATCCAGTGCTTTGACGTATTCAATGGCATGTATACAAAATCAGCAGATGCCCATGCCATTGCATTTCCCATGTTTGATCCAAGCAGAGTATTCATTATGGTGCCATTATATGTTACGTCAGTCATTGTTGTTTTCTGATTTTGCACCATTTCAGCTTGCGTCTTCAGGACCCCGATAAAAAAGGGTCTGTAGTGGCATATTTTTGTCGGAGTTTATAATGGTTTCTTTTCACTCCCAAGAAGAAAAATGCCACCCCAATATGCTGAAACATTTAAAAAATAATTAATACAATTTATTTTCACCAACTACTATACAATGTGTAGGCTATAATTTAGGTTTTTATAACTTCCAGTATCAGACAACCACTGCGTATTTGTGAAGAGGTCATAAATCCATGTTTTTGTTGTTATAACAAAATCATCCAACCTCAGTCCAAATTTGCATCCCACTAGCTCATCATGCTTTATTTTGTACTCCCTCCGTCCCCCAATTAAGTTCCCGGTTTGACTTCACACATATTAAGAAAATAAATTTGACTTTACTGTGGATGCACTGATTTGCACTATTTGGACACTGTTTTGCACTGTTTGGACATTGTTTTGCACTGGTTGGACACTGATTTGCACTGTTTGACACTGTTTTGATGTAGATAATTTGCCAAATAAGGAAAGTAAGGAAGCGTGAACATAATTTAGGGACTGTCCAAAAAGGAAAGTGGTAACTTAATTGCGGGACGGAGGGAGTATTTCTTTGAGACATTAGTGTCATGGTTCTTTACCAGCCCCTCCATGATAAACAATTTTACTTTGTCTACCTCTTCCATAGGTGGCATTTCTTTTGGATCTTCGCTAAATGATCCTTCAATTCCATTTATTTCGGACCTCTCAATCTCATTTCTTTTCTTCATTGCCCTTTGCACTTTCCTTTTCTTCATTTCTGTTGTGGGATTAGGTGTGTATCTGTTGAGGCTCTTAGCAATCCTTTTTGTCCTTCTAATCTCCTTTTCCTTCCCTAGACTTTGAACACTTTCTCCAGCCTGTGGTATAGCCCATTCTTCTTCTGAATGAACACTGTCAGACTTCATTTCAATGTTTTCCTGTAATTGCATAATAAATAATACATACTTAGTCATTTATTTAAATATAAGATTTTTTAGAATATTGAATTACCTCTTCTTCTATTTCCTTCTCAGTTTTCTTCAAGTCCTTAATCACACTATCAATGGCATTGTCTACATGCATTTGCAACTCCTGTGTGTTAATGCTTGCATGAGCTGGAGTGAGTACCACTTCTTCACTGAGTATAATGTTGTCTTTTTGAGCGCCTATAGGGTCTGCTTCATCACTTGCTACTTCATTCTCATCTTGTGAGCGCTTTAGGTGTGCATCCTCACCATATAAACCTTCCTTTTCACCATCCTCACTGTCTCCCTTTTCCACCTCACTGTCTCCCTTTTCCATGATTTTTTCATCGAACTTCTGACTTAGACTGAGATGCAAGTCAAAACTAGGCATGTCGTCCATGAAAGCTTCTTCATGTACTTTCTTCTGAACTTCTTCATGTACTTTCTTCTGAAGCGTGTCATTCTTATCAATGTCCATATCTTCTTCTTTACTTGTGTTTGCTTCATTTGGTGTGCTTTTTGTAAGCAATAATCTCTCCAACATCTCAGTTTGCTTCTTTTGCCCATTGAGCAGCCTTTCCATTCCTTCTTCAAGCACTTTCACCCTTCTTTCAAGTTTTTGGTTTCCAGAAAGTGTTCTTGTCTTCATCAAATGGTTTAATCTGTGCAGACCACTTGTTGCATGATCACCCTCCTGTTGGTTCATATTTCCAGTTTCTCTCTCATTGTGTTCACCTTGAAAATCAGTTTGACTTCCATGAACTTCATCATCTTTATAAGCTGCATCAAAACACACTTTTTGTGTTTTGGTAGTCCATGAATCACATTGAAACTCATTGTGTTTTGGTGTTCTATGGTAGTTAATAAAAAGTTAATTCACACCATAATGCATAACTTTACATGACGCACAATATAGACATTATAAAATAGATTTACCTCTTCATTCAGAAATATGGCATCTGCTAGGGTCATGATATTTGTCTTCTTTGGTGTTGACCACGTCAGCAACCTTGGCAATAACTCCCTTCTATCTTCATCTAACTTACAAACATGGGCTGTCCTAAGAGCTAGGAAACTTTCAAATGCCCAAATTTGCAATGCAAAAATGAAACCTCGAAACGTGAACCTACTGCTTTTTTGCTTTTTTAATGTTTTGAGTCCATTTAGGCACCTTTTCCAATAAATCTTCCCACACTTCATCCCCCCATGGATATTGGTTGACCAATTCCAGGTCATTTACCATGTTGATGTATATCCCTGGACATTTCACTCACTTTTGATTTCCAATTATGTAATTGGAAATCAAGTCCAGTACAACTAGTTTTACCCTATCTGAGGGTTGCTTCTCCACCAATATATTGTCAAACTCTTCAAAAGCTCTACTTATGTCTGCCCTAGAAACATTATTCCTTCCATTAAAATACCTTCTCCATATGTCACCTACAGTGTCTTGATTTTTTTTTTGTTTTTCACCTCCCATCTTAAATCCCGTTATTAATGCCAAATCCTTCTTTCTGAAATCGCTCACTTTATTACCTATGTGAAAATAAATCTTGTCTTTCCAGACCTTCTTGTTAAGCTTTTTAACGTGGTTTTCTGCTTTTAGAACAAGAAGTTTACCATTCATCCATTCAAGATTTCATATTTCTAACAAGCCTCCAAAAATTGTTTCCTTAAATGCCTGGAGTTCCTGTTCATTTAGGAGTTTTCTTATGCTTTCCATGGCAGTATGGACATTGGTATAGCAGTTCAGCCTGATATCCAACAACAATATTATTACCTATTTATTGTCTATCACAACATAATATAACAGTACAACTCTTATAATTTAATTCAAAATAGTATTGAACTCAATATATCAGCACAATCACTTGTTTTATATTCAACAACACTATTATTACCTGATTAACCAATTTTTATGTATATACAGTCTACTATTTCACATATTACTTATTTAATGTCTATCACAACATAATCTAACATTAGAAATCTGATCATACGTTTTTAATCACTCAACCACAAACCAATTGAATTCAAAATAGAATTGTAGTCAATATATCGGCACAATCACTTGTTTTATATTCAGCAACACTATTATTACCTGGCCAGAGGGAAGAACGATTTCATTGTTATTAGGTTTCCTTGTTTCGAAATCACTGTCTGATTTCTCTTAAAGTGGTTGTTGATGTCTTTCAACGTCATTCTCGTCCTCTATTTTCTTCCTCTTTGCCATTTCTTCTGCTTCACTGACTTGATTTTGTTCTCCATTATTTGCTTGGACTAGTGCGTGTTGCGCGGGAGGTTCGTCAGTTGTTTTCTTTCGTCGTTTCGCCATTGGCGCGAGGATTAGCGTACTGGAAGGTTTGAGAGTAATGTATTTTTCTGCTGGGATGAATTAGGGGGTCATATGGTCGAAGACGTCATCTCATTTAAAATAAGGGTATTATGGTCAAACACATTCATGTTTCGTCCTATAGTGGTATGTGGTCCTACTTTTGGAAACTTATTAGTTTTTAGTTTTATTAGGGTAATTTTCCCACTCTAATATGATAGATCTATGTGTTACGTTTATTTTATAATTGTCGAAGCGTAATATATAGGTATGATATGATTTGAAACTCAATTCGATCTAATTTATCAACAAATTTACATCAAACCCCATAATCTCGAGCTTGACAAAACACTTTGTGCTTGCGTACAAAAAAATCGATCATATCAAGAAAAGTTTTACTTAGGATACTTTAATTTATTGGATATATTTGAAAGTGGTGTGTGGGTCTTCGGTTGCCTTCCATTTTAACTTCAATATTATTCCTTTTCTTGTTTTCGAAAAAATGAAAAAACAGCACCTTTTCTAGTTTTCGAAAAAGAAAAAAACAGCACCTTTTCTATAGTTAGATACTATCCGTAATTATCATCTTAAATAATTGGACATCTTGTCTGTAAATGGGATGCCTTTTTAAAATTCACAAGATTTAAACCATTACTATGGTGGGAGTAAGGAGTCCAATCATATAATCAACCATTTAATGAGCATGTTAGTGCACAAAAAAGTAAATGATCGATTCTAGATATTAAATAATTCAGTATATTTTTTTTTGAATGAGAAACATTCTAGTTTATGATAAGTATTTATATTAATTTAATGTACTTATTGAATGTATTTATCAATGAGTTTGCCGGTGAATTACACAAGCTTGGAGAGGACGGAGAGATGAAGCTTCAATGACAATTTTCTCGCTGGGTGATATGTCGTCTTGGTCTCAGATGTGAAGACCACAAGGGCACATGCGAGAAGGATAGATCCAGAGCCGAGTTTCCTTAACTTAAGGACTGGCTGCTTTTTTAATTGTCCATCTGGTTTGTTGCCGCAGGAGAAGGAGAAGATTTGTCCGATTGGAAGTCCATTGTCCAAGGAAGTTGAATCCATATAAATCCATATGGAATTGCAAAAAGTTTGTTAAAATCCCTCAAATTCCATTAAAATCCATCAAATCAACAATCTTTATAAATCCATTAAAATCATTATTGAGGATACCCCCTAAATATATCAGGTCAGCAGATTGTTTTTTTTTTTTGACAAATAAGAAACTTATTTATTAATGATAACAATAACAAAATATAGAGCAATACAATAGTTTGAGACTACACTGAGAGGAGACAAAAAATCGGATGGCCTCCAAAGACCAAACAAATTCGTTAATCTCGCAACTATGTAGACTAATCTAAAAGCACTGTTGAATTTGTTACTTAAAAGACAATTCAAAGAAAATAAATTATCCAAACTAGAAAGGAAACAAATTAAATCAAGAATCCCTGCTACATACGCCACTAGAAAGAAAGAATTGAGTTGACCAGCAACCAACAAAGGAAACTCAACCGAACATAAATTTTTTGAATCATCGATTTGACCAACCACAAAAAACAAGATACAATTGATCATTTTCTTCTTCCCAGAACGAGGTGGTGGTTCGGGTGGAGAGCGAGTAATTGAAGTCTCAGAACAACAAGGTTGAAAAAGCTTTGGTAACCATGAAAAGAAAATTCACCAGATCGATTACACTAATCGAAAACACACAGCCTCTAGACATGCTAGGAGAATAACATACCACACACTCGTTTGAAGCGAACAAAACTCTCGGCCAACGAAGAAGTGACATCAAAACCCTCGAAAGTAGAAATTTAAAAAGATCAGAAGCATAGAAAAATCTTGGTTCAATCCTTCATTGTCGAGAAAATGTCACCATCTTGTAATACTCGTGTTGATTGAAGAAGAAAAGGCTAGAATTATATTGAAGATCAGATCTTGGAGGAGGTTGGAGCTGATCGCCTAGGATTTCCCCTAGGGCCGGCTCTTACACGTCGTTCTCAGCCCATAGTCATACTGGCACAATTGATTCTAAACATCATTAATTCGACAAAGCAAATATAAATTGAGGCCAAGATTATACACAATGTATGAATTCGTATGGCTTTCTGGACAACCATCAGAATTCCCTAAGGGTATGCTTGACACAACTAACTGAAAAGATACTTTTGTGAGCATTTTAGTAATTGCTAGCTTTTAGTGACTGAAAAGATCGTAAAAAGAAAAGATGATAGCTATTTGGTAAAAAGCTGACTGTTTGATTTAATGTGACAACTCCGGTACCCATTTAAAAAATGGGGTACCGTACCTACCACTCATTTGATTTGTTCAAATCATTACATCATTTTTAATTTAGATTTAAATAATTCAACTACATCATTCTTATTGGTCCATGTGGACAAAGGTATGGTACCTTAAGGGTACCATAGAATCTACCTTGATTTAATTCTGTTTGGTATACAAGCTGTTAGGACTAATTAATACTAAAAGACTAAAAGTCACGGACTTTTCTCAGATGCTACTCCTTGTAGCATCTCAAACAAGACCTTTTATTTTTTGAAAAGCTCTTAAAAATGTTATGCCAAACATACAACTAGAAGTTTTTGGAGACTTTTTAAACAATACAAAAGCTTGAAGGAAAGGACTTATGTGTGCCGAACATGCACTTAGCCTATTCATTGATTATTTAAAATTGGTTATTTATTCTTATAGCAAGTGTGCATGTGCATTTTAAATTAATTACTCTGTCCGTTTCATAAAATTCTCCCACGTACTTTTGTGGGATGTTTCAAAAAATTGTTTTCATTTCTATTTTGAATATTTTTGTGTGGCTAACATTCATATACATTTTTCGTACTCAAGTGTATTATATTAATACATTTTCACTATATTATCATTTTCTTAAACTTCAATTCAAATCAAATTGGAAATAATTTCTTTTCCAAAAATGGACATGGGAAAATCAATCATGTTGATCGAAAAATATCATGGTATATATGATCATGCGCGTATCCAAGGCATTTGATTGTTCCAAAAGGTGGAAACTCCCACCCACACCCCGATCCGA